ATCGCTGCTGGGCGCTCTCCCCTGGCCGCTGTCAGCCTCTCTTTGTGTCACCACTGCATGACCTGGAAACACGGGGGACCTGGATGCGGTGCCAAGTGTACCCTGGTCCATTGACCTCTGACAGTAAGGCTGGGCAATGTCCCAGGAGGCCTGGTCGATTCCTGGAAGGCTGTCTACAAGGGTGATTTGTTGTCGTTGTTGTTTTGTATTTTTGCTTTTTTTAATCCAAGGCAAGAGCTGGTCTGTCTTGCTTCCTGGAAGCTCCTTGCCTGGGTCCCTGACTCCCCTTGGGCCACCACCCCTGACCTCCCAGGTCAACAGTGAGGGCTGCCGCATCCCAGCCAACTGGCAGCTCTCATTTGTGACCCTTTGCTCAGCCCTGACCACATCTTTCCACAAGAGCGCCAATCTGTTCGTGTGTTTCTTTCCAAGGCGGAGACCTTGAGCACAGCGAGATCTCTCATTGCTGGACCAGGCTGACATCAGGAGCCCAGAACTCCGAGTCTCCCACGTGGTGGACAGGGACCCAACTGCTGCAGCCCTCTCCTGCTGCGCCCGCCCCCCCCTCCCCAGCATGTGCAGCAACAGGAAGCTGGGGCAGAAGTGGAGCCTGGACAGACAGCAAGCAGTCTGCCGAAGAACACAGCATCAAAGCAGTGAATCCACTGGTGTACCAGGGCTATGGCTGGTGTAGGCTCTCGTGCCAGAGAGGAGTCCTGGGACTGCCCCCTTCCCCCACAGGAGTGCTTGGCAGGCTCAGCAGTGCTGTGAGGCAGGATTCCAATCCCAGCTGGATCCCTCCCCTCGCATGGCGATCTGGAGTGTGGTCACCTGCCCATTTAGTTTCCATGTCGAGAGAGACACACTGCCTGTGTGTGCTGGGAGGAGCACAAGGGTTGGCAGGGCTTAGAATGCACACGCCTAAGTGTGGAGTACCGGGTGCTCACTGAGCCTCAGGGCGAACTACCACTCACCAGCTTTCCCTAGGACCTTGTGAACATCAGCAATGGACTTTAGACAAACAATAAAAAGCAGAGGGTATCTACGTGGTCACCCCAAAGTGCGTAAACATGCAACAGATGAGGAGCAGAACCACACTTAGTCTGAACTGGTGGCTCCCCATTATTTTCTTATCATAAAATAGCATAAGGTGCAAAACTGGACACTACAATGTCAGCCTGTCACACTATAGGGCTGGAATATTTCATATTATTAAAGAGAGAGAGAGAGAGAGAGAGAAAGAGAGAGAGAGAGAGATCTCAAACTTTTCCCACTAAAATAAGAACACCTCTTAGTTCTGCTTCTCATGAAATGTTTAAAGCTCCGTTGGACAGCAGCCTCAGAAGAATATACCATCTGCATAGGTCTTAGGTAGATGTTTGCAAGACTTGTTTCTTTATTTGAAAGGCAGCATAACACACAGGGAGAGAGAAAGGGAGATTGTAGGGTGGGGAGAGCATCTTCCATCTGCTCATTCAGTCCACAACTGGCTGCAGCAGTCAGGGTGGGGCCAGACCAAAGCCAGACCCCAGGAGCTTCTTCCAGGTCTCCTATATAGGTATAGGAGTCCAAGTGCTTGGGCCATCTTCTGCTGCTTTCCTGGGTACATTAGCAGGAAGTTGGGTCGATAGAGGAACAGGTAGGACTTGAAGCCACATTCTGATGTGTATTGTAGACCGGGCAATTGATGGCCTGGCCTGCAGTGCCACCCAAGCCAATCCCCTCTGGGGGCGTGGTTGTTATTGTTGTTGTTTTGTCTGACCCCCTCCCACCAGGGTACTCAACTGCGCTCAACCACCCACCCATGACTGAGCATGACTCTTCATTTTTCAATTTTATTTTTGATGATTTACATAGTTGATTAGGACGGGAAAGGTTGAGGATTAGGGGAAAATGGCTGAGACCATTGTTTCCCAATTTTCTTTTTCTTCTTGCTGCTTCCAGGGGAAGGGGGAGGTGGGACAAGGGCAGAAGCTGCCCCCAGCCTTCCATGGCTGATATAGTCTACCTTAGAGATACCTGTTGTCAAAGCTTGGCTGGAGTAATTGACCAATCAGTTCTGCCCTCCTTCCTCTGTTATGATACCAGATGTCCTCTGCCTGCCCCAATGGACTGCCATATCCTCCATGTGCATCTGGGTATGCTGTCCACTGCTCTGTCAAAGCCACTGAGGAGGCCCAGTTCTGACACATGCACTCCACGGTCAGACCACAGAGACTGTGATTCTCCCTATGGTTGGAGTTCTTAGTTCAGTGGTTCAGTTGGGAGGATCCACAAAGAACCCTCATCTGAAGTGATCCCAGACCTGACTCTTGCGTGCGCTTGCCAGTGTGGGATCTGGCTCTGTCCGTCACCAGCATCAGCCTACGTACACACTGGTAGTTACAATAGCTGAGTCAGTTCTGTCTCCAGCCCTATCTCTTATTGGTGGCCAATGGTGGCCCAGCCCAATCCTGCCCAGCACACACTCGGCCCTCACATATACCAGTGGGAGCTGTAGTCTAGTCAGAGTGACCCCCAACAACTCCCACTAGGCCCGTCCCCTACCCTGGTTCTTGTGCTTCCCAGTATGTGCAGCAGACTGGTCCAGTCCCACATCCCATTCAACTCTTGTACACGTCAATGGTAGTTGAAGATAAGCTCAACCCAATCAACCCCACTGTCCGGCCCATACTCATGCTGGCAGGTGTTACCACCTATCTAATCAGGTCCTGCTCCCAGCGCTGGTTCTTGTGCTCACTGGTTGGAGTTACAACCCAGCAGAGAGATACCCAAGGTTTCCCTACTGGGCCCACTCCAATCTCCAGGTGGTTCGGCAGTCTAGATTGACAGGATTTGCCCCTAGCCCTAGTACTTGCCAGCTGATGCTGTGGTAAAGCCCAACTAGCCTGCTGTTACTCTGGCCTGTGTATGCAGCAATGGGTACAGTCTGTTAACTCAGCCTGGCTTTCCCCCTAACCCAGCTCACATGTCAGCCAATAAGCATGAGACCCCTGTCTGGCCTGATCTACTGCCATCCCAGTTCTCATGCTCAGCAGTGTGAGTAGTGGTCCAGCAGGGGAGCTCCCACTGCCCACCTACTGGGCTTGTACCATCTCCCACCCCCAGTCTCATGTGAGCTGGTTGGTATGGTGGCCCAGCCTGGCATGGCCCATATCATCTTGGCATTTCCAGCTCATGGTTATGGCTGCCACAGCCTAGGTGTGTGTAGTCTGCTCCAATGCCTGGCTCATGCAAACCCATAGGTGTGACAGCCTAGCCCAGCCTGACCCATACTCTGGCCTGGCTCTTACACATGTCAATGAGCTAAGGTTGGTCCTGCCAAGCTTGCCCCCTCCAGAACCAATCTACACAATTGCCAATAGGTGGAGGAATTTGCCTGGCCTCACCAACACTCAGTCCTGAATCACATGCTCACCAGCAGGAACTACACCCTACCAGGTGAGTTTCCCAAGTTCCCTCAACAAGCCCAGTTCCCGACCCAGGTCTCACATGTGCCACCAGGTGCTAGGCCATTACCCAGTATAGTCTGTCCTCTCCGTTCCAGCCTTTCTATGAGCTGGTGGATGCTGCAGCCTGGCCCATCCCATACTCTATTCTTTGGTGCACTTGTGGATGCTGCAGCCTGGACCAGCTCAGCCTGTTCTTAACCCCAGTACCCATGAGTGTTGGAGGGTTCATGGTCGTGCCTAGCTCAGCCCGTCACCACCCTCAGCTCTTAACCAGCAGAAATTGCAATTCCACAGGGTATGGCCCACATGTCCCTCATGGAATCTGCCCTGGTTCTCTCACGTGCAGTTTAGTGCCTTGGCACAGCCTAACATGACCCCCCGTCTCCCATTCCAACACTCACTGGTGGTTACTGTGATCTATTCATGTCAAGTAAGCCCCCAACCTGCCCATGCATTGGTGGGTGATGGTCAGCAGTGGTCGATGCTAACTGCCCCAGCTCAGGTCTCCTGCTTGGGTGAGTGCATCAGTGTGACTCAGAAAAGTCCTACGGGATTAGAACCGGCGCCCATATGGGATCCCGGGCGTGCAAGGCGAGGACCTTTAACCACTTGCGCCACCGCGCCGGGCCCCACAGCCCCCTCTCTTACCTGCAAGTACAGTGGCCTTGTTGGTGAAAATCCCCCAGAAGTCTTTCTTCACCTGCAACATATTCCCTTAGCAGTCCTCCTTCCCTCACGTCCCCATACCCCCTTCCCTGATTAATCCATAGTCCCTGTGTCCAGGAGCACATGGGTTCCCCAGCTCAGTCCTCCTAAGCCCAGTCGTCTGATTGGGGGATACTCTGGCCTGGAGCTCTGCCTGCTCACCCCGAGACCCAAGATCATAGACAGGTTCCCAGATCTGGTCCTCTGGCACAAGTGTGGGTCTGCCACCTTACCTCTCCATTCACCTGGGATGCAAAGCAACGCACGAGACCCCTCGCATGGCCCACAGGTACACCATGCTAAACGGAGCCTTCTCCTGTCCCCTCCCCACCTGCCCTTACGACTGAAGCATGTGTGCAACCTCCAGCCCACTCTGACATCCCCCAGCATGAGTCCCCAGACACCAGAGCTCAAGCAAAAGAGTAAAGCCGCTGACAGCTCTGGCTCCACAAAGACAGAAGGAAAAGAACCACAGTCTTGACAGCCATTAAGACAAAAATACTCAATTTATTTCGTAGATTTGACCGGTCACGCTAAATACGCAGTAGGAACATACTTAACAAAGTTAAATATATATATGTTTATGTACAAGAAAGGTCCACAAAGGCAATTGATCTGAAACATACACAGTATGCCATTTTAACCTATACACACTGAAAAGAAAATAATCGTTAACAATGATAAAAAGTTGAATCCCCAATAACGTACGGAAGTGTCCCTTTTCTTAAAAGTCAGTCTCATCCTTTGGGATGTACAAGAAACGATGTGGTTTCACACAGTTGTCTCCACATTCAAAACATCACGTTTTAAATGTCTGCAGCATAGCGTGTACATGACACAGTGTTTCCATAGGAACAGAACAGAAGCCACCATCAGTGGCCGGCATCGATGGCTCTGCGCCCAGCCCAAGGGCCACGTGGGGGACGCTAGCAGGGCCTATTGCAACCACGTTCAAGTTGTCCTCTCACCCAATACCCACACCCACACCCACACACATACACACAGGATCCCGCCTGCGCTCACCTCTCCCGATGAAGGCGCTTGAAGTGGCCACACAGGACACACCAATCGATAGCTCCAGCTCAAGGTAGCAGCGCCCCCAACACACACACACACACACACACACACACACACACACACTTAAATAAGACCTACGAGTGAGGTGGAGGATCCCTGGGATTGGCATCCTTTTTTTACATTTCTGAGCAAAGTGCACAGGGAATGGTGGCGGGTGAGTAGGGAGTGTCGTTAACCACCTGGGACCATCCTACAGTCCCAGCACCTGAGATTTGAGAACCATGAGACATGGGGCCACCCCAGAGGAGCCCCACAAGACAAACACTCGGGAGGCCACACCCACACGGCCACATCGCGGCAGCCCACGCAGGGGCTCCCTGAGAGGTGACCCACGCAGTCAGCGGAGGAGCTCTGGCTGACTGCGCACATGCACGCACGCGCGCACGGACACCGGCACTCGCCATCAGCCGTATTCCAGCGTTGGGGGACCCCGCACAAGGTTGAAATAGCCGGCCAGGGCACCAAGGTCGATGTAGAGAGAACGCTGTCTCCTCAGCACATCCGACTCCTCCGTGCTTCCCGTGCATGATGAAGCATCTACGAAGGAAACGCGGACAATGTCAGACGTGGGACCATGAGGCAGCGTGGGGGGGACCCCTGGGTTAACAGCAGCCAGGTCTCTTTCTGAGGGGACCCCAGGTTAACAGCAGCCAGGCCTCCATCCAAGGGGACCCTGGGTTAATGAGGGACTCATCAGGCTGTGCTATGTTCACGGAGGATGACACAGGTAGATGAGCTCAACAGAGTCAGCAAAGTTGACGCAACAAAGATGAGTCAACAAAGAAACTGCTTAGAAATCCTGGCATGTTTTCCAGCCGCCCAGACGGTGGCGAGGATGCCAACATGCAGGTTTGGGGATACATGGGCGAAGAACGCCATCATTTGTTAATAAAAAAACAGCAGCTTTGCTCACTGCTGCTGGCATGCACCCTCCGTTGCCCATGAGCTGCCATGCAGGGAGGACAGAAATGCAAGCAACTTCCAGCTCAGCACTGCACCCGCCCAGAGCCACACTCAGAACGAGAGCCCAGCCCTGCACTGCTGGCAGAATCAGCCCACGGGACATCTGTTCTAAAACTCTAATGAGAGTGTCTATTGGAAAACACAAAAAGAAATGTGAAATCAGCAGTTGCTACCAACACCTGTTCCTAACATGGTGGCAAATTAACCCACCTAAGAAAACAAAACAGTGCACTTTGATTCCGTGTGGCAGCAAGCATTTCTGCACAAGGTGGTGGGCACCCAGAGAGGCACCCAGGGAAGCAGGAGCCCCACCAGGGGGCCAGAGCCGTACCCGCGATGTTCTCAGGCAGCTCCAGCTCCTTCCGGCTCAGCAGCCTCTTGCGTTCCAGCAGGGCCGAGTCCAGGCTCTGGCAGCGTGGCTGGTCCTCCGGGGGTGGGTTCAGTGCCTCATGCTTCAGCAGGTCAGCAGCGCAGGGACGGTGGCCCGGGTTCCTGGCTAATGCAGCTTGCATCAGCGCTCGCAGGCCCGGGCTGCAATCATTGGCGATGTCTTCTAAGGGAGGAGCCTGCTTGTGGATCTGTCACACAATAGGTACTCTCAGCATTGGCCAGGGGATGCAGGCTACCTCCCCCACCACACACACACACACACACACACACACACTGCAGGCCAGTGCCAAGGGGCACAGGGGGAATTTGCTCCCCTTCACGTGCCCACAGCAAGTCCTGGAACTCTTGGGAAAGTCTGTGAGAAGCATGTCTCATGACAAAGCAGAAGGAGCCATGTGGTGGTGCAACAGGTGTAGCCGCTGCCACTTGTAACACTAGCATTCTGTATGAGTGCAGGTCGGAGTCCTGGCTGCTCCACTTTCAGCTCCCTGCTAATGAGCCAGCAGATGGAAGATCTCTCTTTCTCTTTCTCTCTCTCTCTCTCTTTCTCTCTCTCTCTCTCTCTGTTTCCCTGCTACTGTGCCTTTCAAATAGATACATCTTTTTTTTAAATGATTTCAAAAAAATATGCTGCACCAAAATGAGTCTGTCTTCACTTCATCACTGCATGGACTGTACTTCAGGTTTCTTTTTTATTTGTTTGAAAGGCAGAGGTACCAAGGGAAGGGCGGAGAGAGAGAGATCTTCCACCTGCTAGTTCGCTCCTCAGATGGCCGACACACAACAAAGCTGGGAGCCCAGAACTCAACCCAGATCTCATGCATGGGTGGCAGAGACCCCCAGCACTGGGGCCATCACCTGCCACCTCTCAGGGCGCACACCATCAGGGAGCTGCAACAGGGAGTGGGGCCAGGACCCCATCCCAGGTACTCTGCTGACACTGGATGCGGCTATCCCCGGAGACCTCTTCAGCTTTGTGCCAAATGCCCATCCCTCTATCCTCTAATTCAAAGTGTTCAGTGAAACAGCTACAACTTTATCTGATACCACTCAGTGTGGCACCTTGAGACCTCACATGGACTCATGCCAAACTTATGCCCGCCACAGAACTCAGCCCACTGCCATGGAAACGGCCACGCCGTCTTCCCACATGCGGGAAGAAACTGCAGCCTCCTCTCCCGGGTCCCCATTTCTGCCTCTCCTGGTTCAGGTGCCTCTCCCCCAACCATCTCTGCCCAGGGTGGACTTCCACTTACTATGTACAGGTAAGAGGGGTAGGCCGAGCGGGGGTAGCGTTTCACCCAGGGCGGCGTGCCCGTCTGCATGTGGATAAGCGTGGCACCCAGGCTGTAGATGTCTGCCTTTGTGGAGTGGCCCCGGCACAGGATCACTTCCGGGCTCATGTAGATCTGAAAACAGAAAGATGGCAGCAAAGTCAGGCCTTGCACCTGCTCCTCCCTGTTCTGGCTCACCCATCATTTCAGTCACACGCTTCATCTGCTTTGCCCCATCCGAGAAGGATGCCTGGGCACCAGAGAACCACAGCCTAGTAGCCAAGGGCCCAAGCCCTTGTCTGTGATTCTTCTTTCCTGCACACAACCCGGGAAAGTTCTAGGTCTTCGTGTCTAAGTCAACGACTTGCCAAACCTCTCAGTATCTGTGGTGGCAGAAGCTGAGAAAAACTTCAAAAGAACAAAGTGTATGGGCGGCAAAAGTGACCCTTCTCGGTCATTCCTACGGATGTGCACACGGACACCTGTTCTAATCCCAGCAGCTCCACTTCCCATCCAGCTCCCTGCCTGTGGCCTTGGGAAGCAGTCAAGGACGGCCCAAAGCCTTGGGACCCTGCACCTTGCATGGGAGACCTAGAAGAAGCTCCTGGCTCCTGGTTCCTGGTTTTGAATCAGCTCAGCTCTGTCCATCGCAGTCACTTAGTGAGCAAATCAGTAAAAGAAAGATCTTTCTTTCCTTCTCTCTGTAAATCTGCCTTTCCAATACAAACGACTATCTTTTTAAAAATGCAGTCACTTTGTTTAAAAATTACATGAAGAATCCAAGGTGCCTTAAAGAATCTACCATTAACAAAAATAAGAAATAAATCTTTTTTTTTTTAGAAAAGTGATTCACTTTCACTTAAAATGAAAAAGAAGTTTTTACTTCCAAACTTAAGAGAGGAACAAAGACCAAACATGCTGATTAGTGATCTAAACACAGATTATTAGCTGGCCCAGACACAGCCAAGGGGACTTTAAAAAGCTTATGCAAAGTGAAATTAAAAGATAAGTTTGGGGAGAAATATTTTTAAATACTTATGTTGGTTTATGCATTTGTCATCAACTTTTAGAAGGCTGTGTGCATGCATGTGTTTCAAAACATTTTTGCACCAAATATATTTTATTAAAAAAAAGATGATTTATTTGAAAGGCAGAAAAAAAGATAGCGATCTTTCCTCACACTGGTTTGCAACCCCAAATGCCCACAACAGTTGGCCAGGCCCAAGCCAGGCGCCAGGAGCCAGGACCTGCATGCCCGGGGAGCCTCACCACCTGCCTCCACAGGGAGCTGAACAGGAAGCTGCATGGCATGGCGTGGCATGGTGTGTCGTGGCATGGCATGGCAATAAAGGATGCAGGCAGCCCAGCAACAGCACCAGACCCGCCTATTTCATTCTCCATGAAATGTGGGAAGTATTCTAATGACCAGTGAAGGTGGAATCTCTCTGATCCTAAAGCTGAAATGTGAATTGTCCAGTATGCCAAGTTATGCTGGAAAAGGCACCTGAAGTCATGTGCCAGGTATTAGTCAAAAATACGGGGACACTAAAAATCCCTGCATAAAACTGCACCGAGCTATGACAGGAGGAAAGACATCGGAAGGAATTTCCTGTTTACAACTTGGACTCCCTCCCCAAGATCTCTTGTTGCATATGCAAATACACCCAGCTCTTTTTAATAAAAAAAAAAAAATCCCAAAACTTGCACTCTCCAGCATTTCCGTGGAAGGCCAGGAACCCTGCTGCTTCAGAGGTCGCGGGCTTCTGGTCACGTGAGCAGGGAGAATGGGGCGAGAGTTCCCGGAATTCGGGTCTGAGTAACCAAATTAAAGAGGCAGCTGACAGAAGCTGGGGAAATTGTCCTGCTTCCCCAACCTCCCCCAGCTCAGCTCCTTCCTACCAACCCACTTCCTGGCACACTTCCTTTCTGCTCTCAGGGCAACCGAGTTCCTCATTCTCCAAGGTGCCCCGAGCCAGAGGCAGCCTCCTGGGAGGGTAAAAGGGCTTTCTCAGGAAATGCAACCTTAAAGTGCAAAAACAAGGAAATGCACAATAGTGTCTTCCTAGGCAATGATAATGCACCCCAGCTACGCTGACGAATGCTAGAGAGGGCAGACGGCCTGTTCAGTGTTCCTGCCACCATGAGACAAAAGTGAAAAAAACGCAATAAGGAAGCCACCTGTCTTCCTCAACCCTAAACGTAAGGCAAGGCATCCACTGTGGCGGGGACCCGCAGCTCCTGTGTACAGGTGGCTGGGCAGACCCCGGGCAGTGTCCGCAGCCCCCAGCATGAGGTCCGGCCCCAGAGGTTACAGCAAGCAACACAAACATGTGTGAGCATGAGCTTCAAGTTCAAGCTCTAGGAACAGGACTGGTGGGACTCTCCAGGAGCCCTGCACCCTCAGGCAAAGGAACTGGGGCCAGGATAGCTGAGCTGGTGGCAGCCTCTCCCCTCTCAGCGTACCAGGGGATGCGCCTGGAAAGGCCATGACAAAGCAAAGCGCATTCCCGATCCTGGGAGGTGGTGGTGGGGGGGGGTACCTAAAATCCCTGCATCTGAGGAACCTTCAGAAAAATTCATGCAAAAGAGATCTGCAGGGATTTTAAGACTGATTTTTTTTTTTTTTTGCACCAGAATAACCTGCTGTTTCAGTTTCATTTTTTTCTGTGAACTTTTTCAGAGAGGGGAAGAGATTAGGGGTAACTCTGTGAGTGTGCGTGTATACTCAGAGGAACATCAAAATCATAAAAAGAAGACCCTGCGATCAAAACAATTCTCCCCTAACAGGCCCTGTTGATTTGTCCTCTGAACCATGTCCCCAAACACCAGAAGCCTCAAGCAGATGCTGGGTCACAGCTGCATACACACCACAGGGTGGCCATGTCACAACGCTGGCACGCGCTGACAGAGGGTGAGCGGGAGAGCAACTCAACAGGTGACCAAAGCTTGTACTTCGGAGCCACTGCAGGGGCCCCACAATCATCACCAGCCACACAGAAGGCATGTTGTGGTCAAGTTCAGATCTGAGAGCGGACGTGCTCTAGCTCTGGCTGGCTGGCACTTTCCCCAAGTGTCATGAGAAGACTCAGGACCAGCTTCTTTACCTGGCTCTTTTTCCAACTTCAGTTCCCAAGAAGAGAGCTGACAGCCACCAAAAAAAAAAAAAAAAAAAGCCAGCGCTGCACTTCATTTAAACACACACACACACACACACACACACACACACACACAATTTCCATTTGCTGAAAAGCACTTGCGACAAACCTTGCCCGGATTAAGATAATGTAGGATTTCGTACAACTGTCTGCTGTGCTTTCCAGACCTACATCTGTCCACAGCATTGCAACATGCTGGCTAGGCAAGCATTTCCCATCTCTACTACCACAAATCATCTTGCGTCTCAAACTGGCTGCCGGGGGCGGAAAGCATGGAACCCCACATCTGTGACCGATTCCCGACTCAGGCCAAACTATGCTGGAATGCTTTTCCCAGCAAACACACTGTAAGCATTTCGTGCCAATCAAGGTCGTGTTCTGCTAAAACAGACTTAAGACAGAAACCTAGGCACCTTAAAAAAAAAAGTCTAGAGTTTTGCCTTCTGCATAGTATTGGCTCAGGGGTGACGTCAAGGATGACGTCAATAGCCTCTCGGGATTTTTCAGTATCAGCAAAACCCAGCGTTTCTGCCCCTGCCAAGAGTCCTGGCCTGGAAAGAGTGACAACTCTGGGCAGATCGCTTTGATTTTTTTTTTTTTTTCACTGCAGTTTGGTCCGGGGAGGCACACGGCGTCAGCTGGACCGAGAGGGCCGGGCTGAAGGCCAAGACCGAGCTGTGATCTGCAAGCAGGGTGTAGGCACTTGCAGCTCAGAGAAGGAAGGGGATGAGGCTGGGCAGCTTCCCGAGGCAGCTGGGCACTCACTGCCCTACCCGGTGCTTGAACCTGCACCCTCATCAGGACCTGCTGTGACTTCCCCATGGTTCCACAGGGAACACAGGGGCATTGCACCTGCTGCGGGGACCACCAAAGCCCGTGGTCCTCACTGGCCACCTGAGACACCTGGCCCATAGCAGACCCTCCCCAGACCCTTGCTACATGACCCAGCTAGTCTCTCTCCCAACAGCCACTCTCAGCAACATCCTTCATTGCCCAGCCCGGCTCAGTGCAGCTCAGGAGCACTTTGAGATACAGGAAAGCCACCTTTGATTTTTTTTGTTTGTTTTTGCTTCACAGTTAAGTTGAATCTTACAACTGTTTTCTCTCTCCCTGTACGATTTAGGGTCACTGCTTTGGGTATATTATAGAATCCCAGGGATTAAAGATAGGCTTTTTTAAAATTAATAAGGGCAGGTGCTGTGTCATAGTAGGCTAAGCCTCCGTCTGCGGTGCTGACATGCCATATGGGTACCAGTTCAAGTCCTAGATGTTCCACTTCCCTTCCAGCTCCCTGCCTGTGGCCTGGGAGAGCAGTAGAGGATGGCCCACATCCTTGGGTCCCTGCACTCACGTGGGAGACCCGGAAGAAACTCCTGGCTCCTGGCTTCAGACTGGTCCAGCTCCAGCCATTGTGACCATTTGGGCAGTGAACCAGCAGATGGAAGATCTCTTTGTGTCTCTCTGTTTAACTCTGCCTTTCCAATCAAACTATTTTCTAATAATTTTTAAATAATAATTTTTAAATAAAAATGTCCTAATTAAAACATTTAAAGACAGGTCTTTGTGGTCAGCCCTCCATAAATGTTGGTGACCATGATAGACTGTCAGTGATGTAAAATGTTGTGATATGAGCTATATGAGTAATATATTTTAATGACATTTAAAAGTCACCTAACAGGGCCCGGTGCAATAGCCTAGCGGCTAAAGTCCTTGCTTGAATGCGCCGGGATCCCATATGGGTGCTGGGTTCATGGCGGCCCTGCTTCCCATCCAGCTCCCTGCTTGTAACCTGGGAAAACAGTGGAGGATGGTCCAAAACCTTGGGACCCTGCATCCGTGTGGAAGAGGCTCCGGGCTGCTCGGATCGGCTCAGTTCCGGCCGTTATTGTCGCTTGGGTTAGTGAATCAGCGGACAGAAGATCTTCCTCTCTGTTTATCTGACTTTGCAGTTAAAAATAAATCTTTTTAAAAAGTCACCTAGCGGTGGAATCTTACGCTTAGACTTTGAAACGGGGTTCAAGTGTGGGATAGGTCACCAGCTGAGTAACTTTAGGTACTTTATTGTAATCTTCTATTTCCTTTTTGTAAAATGAAAACAATAATAATAGCATTCACATCTAACAGCATTCACCAATGACATGTCTGTTGTGAAAAGCAACCAAGAAAGTTCCTGTGAAAAGTTAACCGTAATACTGTCAGTGTTTCTAAAATGACCCTACAGATATCAAGGCTGAAATACCTCTTATCTGAAAGGCTTGGAACGAGAATGAATGCAGATCTGGGAATTTGCTCCATCTGGCCATCTTGGCACAGACTTTGTCGGCTAAGCATCCCTCAACCTGAAAACCCGTTGTGAAATCCGAAGAGGCAGAGAGACCTCCCACCTGCCGACTCAACTCCCCAAACGCTCGCAAGAGCCAAGCCGGCAGCTGGAACCCAGTCCACCTCCCCACAGCTGCTTGAGTCAGCCCTGCTGCAGGAGTGGGGGCTCTGGGGTGGGGAGCAGAGGCAGGTGGTCAACTCAGCGGCTTGCATGTGAGCTGCTGGCATCCTCAGCAAGGTCTTTCCTGCCAGGTCCAGGAACCCAAGATGTATGGAGTGCTGACATGCTATCCAGAACATTTCCAGCGCTGCATGCTTGGGTTCGGGAGTGCTTCATTTATGACCTATCTTGATGGCTTCCAAGGACCTCAATGAAATGGATCACCAGGGAAGTAATACCATCATCGCCAAGTGTGGAACAGGATAAACAGTACCAGAGAATAGCATGGGGCCCGGCGGCGTGGCCTAGCGGCTAAAGTCCTTGCCTTGAACGTGCCCGGGGTTCTCATATGGGCGCCAGTTCTAATCCCGGCAGCTCCACTTCCCATCTAGCTCCCTGTTTGTGGCCTGGGAAAGCAGTCGAGGACAGCCCAAAGCTTTGGGACACTGCACCCACGTGGGAGACCCGGAAGAGGCTCCTGGCTTCGGATCGGCATAGCATTGGCCGTTGCGCTCACTTGGGGAATGAATCAGTGGATGGAAGATCTTCCTCTCTGTCTCTCCTCTCTGTATATCTGCCTTTCCAATAAATAAATCTTTAAAAAAACAAGAGAGAGAGAATAGCATGTGCAGTTGGTGCTCACTAGTGGGCATGAAATGTGTTTCCAAGATGACAACGACTTAAAACATATTTGCACACCCTCTCGCTGTCCTTCCCACGGTGATCCTGGGACATTCTCAGATCCCAGGGGGCGCGTTACCTCTGTGCCCCGGAGATCCTTGGGAAAATAGGTATCTTCGGTCATCTGAACACTGAGGCCAAAATCCACCAGAACGGCTTTTGTGGACATGAAAACGATGTTGCTAGCTGCAACAAGAGGGAGATGTTTAGCCCAGAACCGCCCGTACCACCCACAGGCGAAACCCAAGCACCATCCACACGCAAGTCCCAAACTGGCACAGGCTGTGCCAGAGGCAAGGGAAAGGACGCATTTTGCTGAGAATTTAGGTGCTCCGTTAAGCGTCTGGCCAAAGAGGGGTAACCGTGAGGGTGTGATGCTCGCCCCAAGTGCCGGCAACTCCAGTTCTCAGGCATCAGCATTTCTACTGTTTCCAAGCCACTCTGCTACAGCCGAAAGCTAAATAGCTACTTTAGATAGCGATCTCCTCTTTATCGGAAATCAAAGCAGTGTGCAAAGCCGAAAAGCTATTTGCTTCTCGAAAACCGGGGCTGTGGGGGGTGACGTTTGAGCCGAGCCACTGCTTGCAAATCCGGCATCCCCCTTTCAAAACGCCAGTTCCAGTCCCAGCTCCTCCACTTCCCATCCAGCTCCCCGATAGTGCACCAGGGAAGGCAGCAGCAGATGACCCAAGGAGCTGGGGAGCTTCCACCCTCATAGGAGACCCAAGTGGAGCTCCTGGCTTTGGCTGATCCAGGCAGGGCCATGGAGGCCACTAAGGGAATAAACCAACAGATGGAAGATCTTTCTCTCTATTGTTTCCTCTTTCTCTGATGTTCCTCCAAATAAGTAAAATAAATTTTTTTTTTTAAAACAAATGCATGATGGAGACACTGCATGACTCAAGTGGCTGATCCTCTGCTGGCAGGTGCCAGCATCCCATGTGAGAGCCAATTCATGTATCAGCTGCTCTATTTCCAATCCAGCTTATGGCCTGGGAAAGTAGCAGAGGATGGCTCAAGTCCTTGGGCCTCTACCCCACCGGGGAGACTGGAAGAAGCTTCTGGCTCCTGGCTTTGGATCAGCTCAGCTCCAGCCATTGCGGCCATTCGGAGAATGAACCAGCAGATGGTAGATCTTTTTCTCTCCTTCTCTCTGTAAGGCTGCCTTCCCAATATAAATAAATAAAGCTTCTTTAAAAAATCTTTAAAACAAAAAAAAATATATTTTTTTTTTGCAATGCATGATACCATGAATGTGTATGGGCGTGTTACGCTTAGCCCAGAGCCCTGAAAACAAGGGCCCAGGCAGAGCCGAACAGCTCATGCTGAAACCCTTTCACAGCTGCTGCATGACCAGCTCAGAAAGGCCCAGTAAATCCGGTCCTTCTGAGCCCTGTCTCCTCCGAGGGGCTTTAGGGAGTCGCCAGGGCCCGTCTACCCCTCTGGCCTCACCAGGGAGTTGTCCTAGCAGATACTCACGTTTAATGTCGTGATGGATCACCTTCTTGGAGTGCAGGAAGTCCAGCCCCTTGAGCACGTGCTTGGTGACCCAGATGATCTCGAATTCCCGCATGGGGCCACAGCTCTCCAGCTTCTCCAGCACGGAGCCTCCCTCGCCAGCTTCCATGAACAGGTGCACTGTCTCACCCCACAGGACGGCGCCATACAGCTCAGCGATGTTCTCGTGCCGGAAGCACGCCTGGATCTCCACATCGGAAGGTTTGAATTGATCCACCGGGATCTGAGACACAGAAGCACCAAGGCGGGGTGGATTCTTAGCCATTCCCAGATCCCATCAAACATTCCCTGACATAGGTCCACCCACCATCTGGAGAGGCCACTTGGGCCCCTGGGGAAAGGCCACACCTGTCGGCCTCAGGTCTGCTTTTGTGTTGGCTGCCGGGGGAGGGGAACATTCTAGCCAGGAAAGAAGCCATTTCAGGATGGGTGCTTACTGCTGATGGGTCCTAAGCACCTCAAAGTCTCGGCGTTTTATTCTTCAGGTGCCATTCTCTTGAGGCTTTGGTGGGTGGGGGTGGGGATTTGATCATCAGTGTGCTTTTTCAGTTTGAAGAAAAGTATGGTTTCAATATCGAGTGCAAGTGTGGTGAGGCAAACAACCCCCACCGTTCTTCTCCCACACTTTTTGTGACCCAGGTCTCTCTGGTTCCCACGGCTAAAAATCAACTGAGGCGATACCCTCTCCTTGCAAGTGTTAAACCACCTTATTGTAAGCCTTCCTGGTGTTCTCTTCAGTAATAGATATTCTTGCAAAGTCTTTAAAAAAAAAAAGCAACCAATGAGACCAAAACATTGTGTGTGTCTCATTAGAATAACTAAAAGCCGAATGTCACATTCTGCAATGACGGTTACTTGAGAATTTGTATTTGAGAAATTGGCAAGGAGGAGACAGAGCAGGGAGAGGGAGAGAGAGATAAAGAGGAAAAACAATTTGTCAACTCTTTGCTGCCTGTTGCATAAACATCCGGGAAGTTTCCAGCCTGGACCTCTTCACCACACTGGCACAAACGTGCTAAGCACCCTGCTTTGTGACCACAGGGACATGGCCCACGCCCCGTGGGGTGGTGTGAAATTATTGGGTCACAGGCTTGGGAGTACCTGGCCTCTGTGTCATCACAGCTGCATCTGAACTCCGCCTTTTAAATGACAGTCCCAAGAAGCCTTTTGCCTCTCAGCCTGGCCCCCTCCCAAGTGGGTGGGGTGAACGGAACAGCCGTTGGGGTGCAGGCTAGCTCCAAGCCTCGGCCCCACCCCACTCAGCAGGATACTGTCATCCAGGCGGTGCACTTTGCTCTAATTACCTATAAATCATTTCTGCACCTGAGTAAAGGTTTCAGGCTTGAATGCACGCCAAAGAAATCCAGAATTAAAAAAATAAATAAATAAGTGCATTGTGTCACTGCAGGCAACGCTGACACCTTTGACACCAGCATCCCATGTGGGCGCCAGCTCAAGTCCTGGTTACTCCATCTCCCATCCAGCTCCCAGGTAATACGCCTGCAAAATCAGCAGGAGATGGCCCAAGTGCTTGGGTCCCTACCCTCCCCCGCCCCCACCCAGGACACCCAGATGAAGCCCCTGGCTCTGGCCCAGTCCTGGCAGTTGCAATCACCTGCGGATTCAATCAATGGATTGCACATCTGTCTAGATGTCTCATCCTCTCTGTAATTCTTCCAAATAAACAATCTTACAAAAAATCGGAGGAGGGGGGAGGCTAAGGCCAGAGCACCCTCTGAGACCCCATCAAAGAACTTTGGGTCGCTGCAGATAAACACGGCCCGCGAGCCATCAGCTTACAAAACACGCACCAGCTTACACGCCATTCTCTTCTTTGTCTTTCTATCTTGGGCCAAGTACACTTTGCCAAAGGCCCCGCGCGGCACAAAATTGGAGCCGATATTCCTGTAAGTGAACTTCCAGGGGACCAGCAGCACGTCCGAGTCGATCTGGTAGCGTCCATTCTGAGGAGTGATGACCTAGGAAGGGAGTGGGGAGTGAGAACAGTGGCAGAAGCAGCCCTCCCGGGAGAGCCGGTAACCCCGCCAGCACTCGTCCGTGGCGGCGGCCACTCACAGGGCACGTGTCATCTTCCCACTGTATCAAGGTTAAATTTAGAACTTGAGCAAGACAGAGAGAAAGCTTGGGACGGGTGCGTCTCCTTGGCCCAGCCCTGGTCGTATTTCCACCTCCGGATGAGTAATGAATTGCCAACGAGAATCTAAAGCGCATTGTTTATGTAAAGCAATCCACCTCATGTCATCCAAAGGCTTAAAATAAAGACAGCCCACGTGTACAGCATGCCTGTGCGTTGAATCGCCTGTCAGAACGTGTGAACCTGTCTGTCTACATGCCTGTTGCCGATACACGATGCACAACAGAGAGAGTGGAAATTAACCGGGCGCAGTCGCAGCAGCTGCGGGAACACAACGCCGGGCGGGATCTGCGAGCAGCTGGCCTTGCTACCTTTCACATGACACACGCCAGAATTCTTTCTCATCCACTGACTCACATCTTACTGCTCGCACACACTCTTGTGTGCCAGGAGTCATAGCAAAGGTCAGGAGCAAGGGGCTCGGCGACCCCTGATCATCAAGGGCTCAGCGACCCCCGACCACCGAAAGTTCACCAGCCAGGGAGCACCTGGAGTCCAAAGGCCACAGCAACAGGACACAGCGGCGAGAAGCACACCTGTGGGTTTCCGGGGTGGGTTTGTTTTTCCAAACTCACCCAAGGAGATCAGCATGTAACTGTGTATAAAGTGCGCAGTCAGTCCCTGCCTTAACGATGGCTAAACTTCACCATTTCCCAACTTCACAATGGTGTGAGAGCCACAGGCAGTTGGGGTCTTTTCCGTGGCCTGGCCACACGCAGTTAAGACCTTGACAGCATCAGCAGCAGCCAGTGGGACCCCGACTCGGCTCCACGGTCTCAGGGGCGCACGGCAGACATTGTACAGTGGAGATGTATGTTCTGGCGCTCACGTCCTGCGGGTTAGGTAGGCTGAATGTGGTTTTAATTCTGCAGCACGTGACTTCAGCGCATGTTGGGTCGCATTTGCCCATCTCAATTTTTAAAGAAGAAATAAATGTGAAAAGCCACAGAAACCAGGACTTGGAGCCCATGCCTACAAACAGGAAAAGTCTGCAGCATTCTTCCAAACAACAGTCAGAAGCAAGAGCAAGTATCGTGGCATAGTGGGTAAAGCTGCCACCTACAATGCCAGCATTCCATTATGAACACGGGTTCAAGTCCTGGTTACTGCACTTCCAACTCAGCTCCTTGCTAATGGAAAGAGCAGGAAAGTGCTAGCAGCAGGCCTAAGTGCTGGGGCCCCTGTCACCCACATGGGATTGACCTTCCTAATTAATAATAATAATAATAATAACAATCTTTCTTATAAAAAATCAGTTTTTCCTAAATATAATTAGCAATAGCTGGATTCAGATTATGGATTGAAGAAACATGGAACTCTCAAGTGCCACAAATTTATTTCAAGCACAAGAGAAGCTGGAAGGGAATGTGGTAAGTTCCCAAAACTACACACAGCGAAAGAATGAGCCCTGACTCACACAGGTGGATGCCGGGACCCAACACAGAGGCACTGCCACGGGCATAAAACCCAGGGACCACAAGATTACTCAAGCAGCAATGCTACTGCTAATTTTAGCCATTCATCTCACAAACAGTTGTGCTCACTATTAAGGAACAAACTAGAATTCTACACCCAGAAAGGTAAATCATTCCAGTGAAAATTTCAACATATTTTTTATTTTTTCTTTTATGCATTTAAAAGGCAAAGAGACAGAGAAAGAGAGAGATGCCCCATTCATATTAGCTCACTCCCTAAATGCCTCCGACAGGCTGGGATGGGCCAGGACCAAGCCAGGAGACACCTGGAACTCCTCCTGGGCCCTTCTCAGCTGCTCGGGTCATCGCTTCTTGCCTCCCAAGCATCAGCAAGAAGCTGGGATCAGAGGCAATCCTTGGCACTAGGATGAAGAAACGGAAGATTTGCTGAGAGCTTCTGCCACAGGGACTCCAGGCAGTGCCCTGCTGGAACTACACAGGAGCAGCAGGCTCAGCGCAGAGCTGAGATAAAGCCTGACTTGCAAGCATCACATCCAGGGGCTGCCACCTACAGGTAGCCAGTGGCCACTTGCCCCTAACCTACCCAAACTCGAGCACCTGCCCTTCCCTGCCTCTGCATGTAACTCAGCTTTCACTGTGACGATCCACTGCGAGCCAGGGTTCCTCTAAATGTGGCCCAGGAGGAAAAAGGCCAGTCACTGTGACACAGGACAAGGAGGATTCAGGATTCTACAGCCACAAGGTTGTCTTCTTGTCTTCACTCCAGGGGCTCCACCAAAGGACCCCTCAAAGGACCCCTCCACGTTGCCAGATCTTCACTGCACCCAACACAACTTCAGGGGCACTCAGGAGTCACAGTGTGGGTGAACAAAGGACTGTGCACAATACCCACCTCCACCATCCACACAAGCACACAAGCTGTACTCTAAGGAGTAAAGCTGTGATTTACATGATTTATTGCCCAGTGTATTAGGCACTGGGTGTTAGGGGATCCTCTCTCATGGTCCCAGCTGATCAAAGACCCCAGGCTGGACCACGTCCCTTCTTGCACTCTTTCTTTTTAGGATTAAGACACAGGACTAGCACACAGGCAAGTCAGGAATGGATTTTAATTCTTCCTAACCAGTGCGGGGCCGAGGGTGGTGCGATAGCTCAATTGCTTAATCCTCCTCTGCAAGTGCCAACATCCCTTGTGTATGCTGGTTCATGTCCAGGCTGTTTGACTTCCTATCCAGCTGCCTGCTTGTGGCCTGGGAAAGCAGCAGGGGATGGCCCAAGTCCTTGGGACCCTGCAGTCATTTGGGAGACCCAGAAGAAGTCCCTAGCTCCTGGCTTCTTTTCAGCTCAGCTCCGGCCATTGAGTTCAGGTGAGGAATGAACCAGTGAATGGAAGATGTCTCTCTCAGTCTCTCCTCTCTGTAAGTCTACTTAGCCAAAAATAAATAAATCCTTAAGTATATGTGCATCTGTGTAAGTTGAATATAATGAAGAATGTGCCAACAGTCATACAGACACATATGATTGGGGCCTTGTCTTATTTCAAGTCCAGATCAGAACAGTGCACCGGGAATCACAGCCAAGGGCTGGGGTGAGTGACAGGTGAGACCCGGGGTTTGAGCCTCTCTGAGGTTTGCCCTGAAAAGCCTGACTCCAAGCATGAACCCTCAGCATCTCACACTTGCGTCTCTCAGCCTGGCAGCTCACTATCACCAGCCTCCCAGAGGAGCAAGCCCTTGGAACCCACCTTGGACTACTACACATGCGCAGTGTAGGCACGCATCTTCATAATGCACAGCCTGTAACATCCCGATATCAACAGATTCCTAGACTCACCGGCTACCGTCCTCTACCGGGTCTCGCTGGGCTCCCACGGATATTTAGGAAAATAGAGCACACTCCCCACAGAACTACAGACACAGCCACAGGTACAACATGCCCAGGTTTCAGGGGATAGAGTTATTTCTGGGGTCTCTAACTTGGCCAGCGCTGGGGACTGAACACACTGGGTCTCCAGGCTCTGGGCTCTTTGCACCCACTGCTGCCTTCATCTGGGACCTTCCCCTCTCCCCACCCCATCATCTTGTACCAACTCCAGCTCTGCCACGCTGCGACCTCAGCGTGGACATTCTGCCTTCTGCACCACACGGTGTGCTCCCCCCCCTCCCCCAATCATGAATGTGGGAAAGAATCCTGCTCGCCAAGCCCCAGAACTCTCCGCCCTGGCCTCCGGTGCACAGGGACTGCCAGCTCATGCACCTGCCCCAGCAACATCTGGAACACAGCCAAAGATGCCCGGGCTACCACCTAGCAAACGCACAAGTAAACTGGAGCAGCAGAGTTCCCCGCCCCTCAGCAGACACATTAGAGAGACAAATTTGACCTTGAGACCAATCCAGGTGGGTGGTCAGTAATGCGATGGCGTATTCCAAAACAGAGCAGAAAATGGAAAAACGGATCCCAGAAACTAAGAAGTTATGATAGGGCGATGGCAGAGGATGATGATGATGAGGGAAAGGTCTGGAAGGCAGGGAGGATGAGGCGAGGACACCACCTCGTCACACACTGGCTAAGACCGAAGGCCTCCATAGCTACGTGTTGAAGCACAGAGCTACGGAAACTCATAGGCAATCACAGTGCTTTATCTGGCCGGGACAGGAAGTTGAACTTGGCGTCCAGGCTGCCAAATGATTCCTAGTGAGGCGGGGAGAGGGGGTGTTCACACTGTGGGTTTGCTTTTTGATTCATCTGAGAAACGGACCAATCTCCCACACTGGTTCACTGCACAAATGGCAGGGTGAAACCAGGAGCTGGGGACCCAAGGTAAGTCTCCCACGGGTGGGGGGTGTAACAGGAACCCAATTAAGTTGAGCCATTTGCCGTTGCCTCCCAGGGTTTGCACTGAGTCAGGAAGCCAAAGCAGGGGCTGCACTTAGACACTCTGATGGGACATAAGAGCATCACAACCAGCATCTTAACCCTGTGGACCGTAACGTAGATTTTAATTCCATTATGATTTTTAGTCTTCTTGCTAAAACAGAAGAGGGATTTCAAAAAGGTCACGGGAAATGTGTTACGAAAGGAAGGCTGTGAGAATTTTCAAATTGGTTAGCCTCCCAAAAAAAACATATCTTTAATTGACCATGAACTTCTGGAGATACCCTTGTTTCTTACATTCTTGGTCACTTTTGTAAAATAATACGATGTTTAAAGCATTCACAATAGCTACCTTTCTGCTGCGTGTCCTATGCTTAAATTTTCTCCTAACCCTGCCTGTGTGAGTGTGTGTTCACTCAGACAGCCAGGTCCTAGGGCAGGACTGGCCACTTAGCCTTGGCTGATGGCACTTCCTCTTCCTGCCCTACTTTCTCTGCCTTTCTGCCCTAGCCTCTCCACTCCCACCCTTCACAAAGAATCTTCAGTAGGGGCAGGGACTGAGGCCGAGCAGGTTAAAGTCACTGGCTGGGATGTCCACTGGTCCAATCCAAGTGGACTCCGCCTCTTCCACGTCAGCTTCCAGCTGATGTGGGTCCCGGGAGACACCAGCGGCAGCAGTTGATGGCTCAAGTCCTTGGGGCCCTGCCACCCACATGGGAGACCCAGACTGAGCTCCTGGCTTTGGGTTGGTACAGTCCCAGCTGCGTTTATAGTTTCTGACAGCATTTGGGCGAGTGAAGCAGCAGGCAGAAGCAATCTCGCTCTCTTGCTCTCTCCCTCTGCCTTTTAAGTAGATGAACAAAAATACAATAAAAGAAATAAATAAATAAACATTTTTGGACCTGGTGTGGTAGCCTAGTGGCCAGAGTCCTCGCCTTGCACATGCTGGGATCCCACATGGGCACCAGTTCTAATCCTGGCTGCTTCACTTCCCTTCCAGCTCCCTGCCTGTGGCCTGGGGGAGCAATGGAGATGACCCAAAGCCTTGGGACCCTGCTCCCGTGTGGGAGACCCAGAGGAAGCTCCTGGCTCCTGGCTTCAAATCAGCTCAGCTCCGGCCATTATGGTCACTTGGTGAGTGAACCAGAGGATGGAAGATCTTCCTCTCTGTGTCTCCTTCTCTCTATACATCTAGCTTTCCAATAAAAATAAACAATCTTCTTTTTTTTAAATAAATATTTTTAAAAGCTTCAAGGGGCAATTGCTAGGTCCTCCTTATAGTTTTCCTGAATTGTCTCCGTGAACTCCCAGGGAAGAGCTAAAGCTCTGATAAGCCAGGGGCTTGGCCACAGACCCCTCGTGCTCTGTGGTTGGGCCAACAAGAATCCCATCCGCTCTGCAGTCCTTCATCTAGAGCTCATTCTCACAAGTGAGAAACAGAAAACACCTGCTCCAAGTTCAACTGAATAGACTAAAGGAAGCCCTGCCGGGAGGCGGAAAACAAAGCAAGTGGCTGTCCTGAGTTACTGTGCTGTTAGGCCCTCAGTGCACGGCATACGAAAACAAGAGTGTCAGGTGGTGACCACCCCCCACCGAGGGCCACATGGCCATCCGGCGACACTCAAAGCAAAGGCTGCCGACAAGCATGGCTTCTAAGTCCCCCCCCAGTGGCATAACCAGCTGTGGACCTTTAGCCAGCACCTGTTCACCTGTGACACACTGAGTGCTTCCCAGAACCCCGTGTGGCCCCTGACACAGCACTGGCTCACGGACTGCAGCCACAGAGCAGGGTCAAATGCTGCATTCCAGGCATACTTGAGATGACTAACTGAACCCAAAGGGCCGTTCCTCCTGGGTTAATTACAGTGAACCTGCAGAGGGCGACAGACTGTCTGCAGACTGGGTTTTTGGCAAGAACTCGGTTGAGTAGGTGGTCATGCCGGACCCTTTATCAGACATGACAAACAAATGAGCCTTCAGAATTATGCAGAATAAACCCAATGCTCACTCCCCCCTACACCAGCTAAGGGCTTCTCAACCAGCCCTTCTCTCTTGCATCAATAATGAGTACATTAATAAATTATTAAATTAAGGTCCACTCTCTGTAATTAACTACTGGGAGAACTGCTACCAAAATGGAAATTTTAATAAAGACCTTTTTTTTTTTTGGTTTTATTTTTGCATCTCGAACACAGACATGACCAATGCAGACACTATTAGAAATCATACCTAAAGAGCCACTCGACCCAAGTTCAATGTCACTCTGCAGGGAAAGAATCTGCAGTGGTCACAGTTCCACACACACAACATGCAAACATACCATGTTTAATAAAACTCCAGATTCCTGGGGTCGACTGCTGTAAAAATGCTTTGCCGAATTGGAGATGTGGTTTGCAAACGCCAGCAGGTCATCCACCGTGCCGTACCTGACCGTGGACAGCCACGGTCCCTCCTGGCCACTGAGCAGCAGAGAATCCGCCCGCTCTTCGTTCTGATTACTGTCCGGACACACGGTCAGGAGGCTGGGTTCGTACACAGCCGGTTCTTGGCTCCCGTACAGATCCTCCATGATGTCTATGACATCGGACATACTTAAATGCTTCATCAGTAAGTCGATTTCTTCTTTGTTGTCGCTTCCAGTGCTCATGTACTCCATCACGGGTGCGCTTGCTAGGGGAAACAGAGAGAATACCAAGACTTACTGAGGAGGTGACAGTTACGTTTCAGGAAATGAGCGTCCCAGCCTGCATTGTGGAGCAAGAACTCTGGGTGACAGTTTGTGCAAGTTCATGAACAGCGGGGAGTGCCAAGGGACCTCAGAGAACCTTCCATCCAGCTCACTTTGCAAAAGCAGAAACCTGAGACCCGGAGCATGCACCTGTTGGGAGTTGGACAGAACCCAGACTGGAAGCAGCTCACGAATCTGAGGGGCTCCGGGCTTCTCCTTATAGCCTCCGGCTCCCTCCTGCAGCTGGAAAGAGAAAAAACACGAGGCCCTGAGAGCCCGTGGCAGACGTGAGGTTAAGCCTTCAGAGAGATCCTGATCCAGCTCGCTGCAAGGAGACACATCTCACTACCACCAGGGACAAGGCGTTCACCCTCGGCCCCAGCGGGCCCCTCTGGGAGAGACCGGAATGCCTGCACCCCGAGGGGCCCAAGGTTCACTGATTGCTCACTGCCTTCCCTTAGGAGCTGCACAAATAGAAAGAGACCCGGAAACCTAAATCTATCACAAGACAAGACGCAGGCAGGAGCACATGGGACTGCAGGGGGCTTTCAAAGAGTCTACAGAACTACATCATAAATCAAAACAAAATATTTTTAAATGTAAAAAAAAAGTCTGTGGGAAGATCTCTGTGACAAGAAAAACCACGCACTACATGTTACAGTCTTCCTTGCAACCTTTCTGAAGTCCCATTGTCTTGGCTAAAACTGCATTTTAGGTTTTTTTTTTAAGATACAAATGAGGTGCCATCTTAGTGGATGTGGGGGTGGCGACAACATCTGATGAAAATAGGGGACAACAAAGGGAATTACACAGCGACGGTCAAAGGAGGAAAGATACAAGGACGTAAGAGACCTCTGCTGCAATACATCCCGACCGTCCGTGCACTTAACCAGCAGGCTTGATAAAGGCCAGAAACAGCTGTGCACTTTTTCTGACAGATGCTTCCGCTTCTTAACGTCCCCTCCATCCCTGCTGTGGAAGCACCAACCGTGCATCACCAATCAGCTTGCCAGAGGCCACCTGCCTCCGAGGCAATCTCCTTCCACGGAATGCACCACAGCACCTAGTGCTATCATTAACTGATTTGGCCCGGGGTCCCCGTGGGGGCACCCTGCAGAGAAGACTCTGCCTGGGCTCCCATCACACACCCCACTCTACAGGTGTGGGTATGAGGATGCCTGCTTAAAGTCAAGCCAGTGCCTTCACTTGTACACACTCCACCAGTCACTGCACTTGGCTCACAGGACAGCTTTGAGGCTAGTTCATGGTCACCACAGGTTGGGAAGAGAGAGGTGGGGGGAAGGGAGGAAGGTGCTAAGCAAGCCAGCAGTCAGGTGTAGCTAGAATGAGTTAGCTTTCAAAGACTGTCTCAAAAACCAGAGACAAAGTAAAAAGAAAAAAGGCAGACTCGCTTTGATGGCTCATTATCACTGCAAGTCTTACCCATCCTTGAAGGGGTTGGAGTTGGCACGGCATGGTGCTGGGAACCCGGGGGACAATCAAGGCACAAATGCCTTTGGTTTCACCACGTCTATTTAGTTGCAGTTTCTGTTTGTAGGCAGGATTAGAAAAAACAGAAGTTCAAACAGAAACACTGCAAGACAGGGTCCCTCTTCCCCACCCCCATCTCCGCCACCCTCCCCGAGCTGGGAAGATTGAAGGCTACAGGACTTACCAGATGTGACAGAAAAGTTCCCAGGACTAACCCAGAGGGGGAGAGAGAGACAGGCATTCAGGCAGGTGGATCCTTAGGGGAAAGACGGGTTTTAGTTTCTTAACTGTGCAGTCAGAAGCATTTCTACAGAAAACCTAGAGATTGGATCTCTGTGGGCCCATCTGTCTGTCCGTCCGTCTCTAACATACGCACACCCCTACTGGTGAGAGAGGGACAGGGCAGGTCCAGCAGTGCCTGACTTGACTTCCCACCCCGCACTACTAAGTCCTTAGCAACACCAACTCAGCTCCCAGGCAACCCTGAAGACCGGTCAGCCCCACACTCTTGCAAAGAAAACCCAGCAATTGCCAGCCTGCAGGAAGCAGACCGACTTCACGTCTCATCAGTGCCGGGAACGAGGTGGAGCCCAGAAGTTACTCCACTTAGGAACAATCAAGAGCGGAGAGAGATCCTCAGACTCCCTAACACCACAGAAAACGACACCCGTCTTAGAAACCCAGAAATCAGCAAGAGAGAGACATGAGATTCCTCCCCGTTCATGCGATACTTGGCACAAAACAAACGGAACACCCAAACGTCAATGAAAATGACCCTAACAACCGAGGGAGCTGCCCGGCTTCGAACAAGGCTCACCACATCTCCCGTTACCCCCTCACCCCGTTTAAAAGATTCCCCCACCCACCCAATCACCCCAGAGCTGGAATACGTGGACAATGTCCCCACCCACCCGCTGCCCGGGGCGCACCTCTGACCTGCGCTTTCCTTTTCAGAAAGCCCCTGCATGAGGCACTGCAGCCACAAAAATCTCCAGATGCCTCAACCGTTCAACTCTCCCAACTCGACTAAGTCCTTAAAGGTCAAAGCTACAGAAACTCCGCACAGAAACTCAGTCCCTAGGAGAGAGCTGGAAGGGGGCTGGAGAGAGAGGGGGGACAGTCAGTTCCAATCAGAGAACACCTAACTTGGCAACCAGACGGAACACCCGGACATGCACGAGCTAAGTAACAGCAACAAAACTGAGCACTTGGCTTTCTCGGACCAAACTTCTCTCTCCCTCAGCCCCCACCTCCAAGGAACTCACCGGGCCTCGGCCTAGGAGGGCTAGGGGGTCCGCAGCAGGACGCGCGCGGGCACCGAGAGGTCCCCTGCTTACTTCGCGCTCAGCCGGGACCAGCCCTGAGGATCCGGGAAGAAAAAGGAGGTGGTGGAGTAGGAGGAAAGGGGAGGAGCCCGAGTCTCCACCGCGTGAGACCCTTGCGCAAGGTGCTTTCCAGCCGTGCCGGGCTGCAGCCAAGGATGTTAGCCTGCGCAGCGGCCCGCGGGCTGGGGGGTACGCCCCTGTCTCCGCGCCCCCCGCCTAGGTCTCCCTTATGCAGGTGGTGAGGCGAGGAAGAGAAACACTCATCCAGGGATGGCCAAAGCCACTTCGAGCTCCTGCCCCGCCTCCGGTCGCTGAGTGGGTTTACCTGCTATCTGCGGGGGCCCAGCACTTCTTCCGTGGACCACCAACAGCTCGGTGCGCAGCGCGGGGTCGGTCCTCCACGGCCGCGCACGCAGGGTCCCGGTGGCAAGGTGATGGTTGCGGGAGCCTCAAGAACCAGAGCCAGGGCGCCGGGCTCCAGCGCGTGACGCGGCGGCCAGACCGGAGCAGGACAAGTGTGCCCCGGGCCGCGCACTCGGCCCCTGACTCAGGGCGTCTGAGCCGGCCCAGGGGCGGTGCAGCAAGTGCCGGCCGCTGCCACCCCGCCTTTTCCATTTCCCCTTTCTCTTCGTAAACAGAAAGAGGTCGGCCGCGCAGGCTGGGGAAGCCAGAACCCCAGCGCTGGGAAATTCCGTCCACCACTCCCTCCCCTCAAGGGCCTGCCCAGGGGAGGAGGAGTTGGAGGCGGAGCGTGAGGTCGGGGACCCGCCTCGCCGACCGGGGCTGCCGACCTGACCGCGGAGCTGGAAAAGAAAAACCCCCCAAGACAGAGCGCTCGTCCGGCTCATTCACACCCTCCGCCCGATGCGCGGCCCCCGGCTGCGGCGGGCCGGCAGCCCCGGGTGCGCCCTTGGTTTGGGCAGACCGGGAGTGGGTTGGGGATATCCTTGCAGGACCCTCACTTGCTTTTCTGATGCTGCTAGGTGGACACCGGGCTGGCGTCCCTGCCCTTGGCCGGCACAATCCGGGTTTGCACTTCTCAATGTCCTGCAGTGCACATGTGCCCGCGCGGACCTCCCCTCATCTTGAGCCCCGGGGCCGCGCATCTGGAATTTTCCGGAGTGGGAAAACAGGGTGTACCCACTCCTCCAACACACCGCACAACCAAGGCGGCGGGGCCGGAAGCGGCTTCTCTCTCCCTCGAATCGGTCACAACACCGGCCTGGCTGCGCCTATCTCCTTTCCCTCCGCCCCCGCCACGCCTGCGCCCCCCCCCGAGCTCATCCGCTCTTGGTGGTGACCAAAGCCGTGTGGGACCCCTCTGAAATGCAAACTTTTCTGACCGTAAGGGGAGTCCTTGAAAGAACTGCTGGCGGGCTCAAGTTAAAATGCGGTGACCAGCCAGCCCTCCTCTCCTCTAGCCGTATTGCACCTCGGGTTAGCGCATAAGCAAGCCCAGCTCTCCTAGAAGTAGGCGAGGGCCCGGGGACTGACGGCTCGCGCATCCAGCAGCACCAGTCCCCCAGTTATTTTAAGTACTAGAACCAGGTGAGCGAGTGTTGTGATCGTGAGGACTTCTGGACCTGCGTCTGTCCCTCGCGTCTCCTGGGCCTGTGGTTTGCTGCAAGCCTGCAGCCGGGACTGGGCTGGGGAGACAGACCCCGCCCCCGGCTTTGGCGCCTGTGGGTGATCCCAATCTTGGTGGGAGCCAGGTGGGAGTGCAGGCTGTAACCTGGAACTGCACGGTGAGAGAGGGCCCGCAGCTCTGCCTTTCACACCGCCAGAGGGAGATCTTTATACGCGTCTTAAAAATAGAGCGGTGGAGCCACACCCCCTCTCCTTATCCCTCCCCACCCTGGGATGAGCTCACGGCAAACCCCACCCAAGCTTCTGGGAACTTAGTGTTGAGTCTCACGGAGATCATATATCTGCCTTTCCTGTTAGAAGCCCGAAGGGACAGTGTTGCAGCAAAGGCGGGCTGAGTTGGCCGACTCCTGGCGGTCGCCTTGCTCACGCTCGGTGCCGACCCAGTGCAGTCTGAGAAGCGCCGCTTGAGCCATAGGGAGCTGCTTTGGGGGACGGGTTGACGGAGCAGCCCTGACGGCTCAGGTGATGGGCTTGCTACTAAGCCCCGCTTCAGCCCAACCTGGCCACTGCAGGCACCTGCGGAGTGAGCACGCAGATGGACGGGAGCTCTCGGAGGGTCTTTGTCTCTCTGCTTCCCAGAACAAATCAAAATTTAAAAGTCCTTTGTCCATCTGGTGGGAAAAAAAAAGTCTTGTGCAAATAAAGAAATGACATCGGGCCCGGTACAATAGCCTAGCAGCTGAAGTTCTTGCTTTATAGTCGCAGGTTCTAATCCCGGCAGCCCCACTTCCCATCCAGGTCCCTGCTTGTGGCCGGGGAAAGCAGTCCAGGACTACCCAAAGCCTTGGGACCCTAAAACCCATGTGGGAGACTGGAAAAGGCTCCTGGCTCCTGGCTTTGGATTGGCTCAGCACTGGCCATTGAGGCCGCTTGGGGAGTGAATCAGCAGACAGAAGATTTTCCTGTCTCTCTTCTCTGTACATCTGACTGTCCAATAAAAACAGATCCTTTAAAAAAAATAATAACATCACAAAAACAGCTCTTTAAAAAAAAACCCTTAGTTTTATTGGAAAAACAGAATTGCAGAATGAAGAGGAGTGACACAGAAAGATGTCCCATCCACTGGTTTACTCCCCATGTGGCTGCAGTGGCTGGAGTTGGGCTGATCTGAAGTTGGGAACAGAAGAAGCTGGGAACCAGGAGTTTCTTCCTGGTCACCCATGAAGGTGCCGGAACCCAGGTACTTGGGCTGTCCTCTACCACTTTTCCAGACCATTAGCAGGAAGCTGATTGGGAAGTGGAGCAGCCGGCACATAACCAGCACCTATATGGGATGCTGGCACAGTAAACTGAGGCTTATTTTGTTCTGTCATGGTGCCAATCTTATAATCTTATAAGAACAGTTCTGTTGAATCATTACGCGATACCGTAATGATTAAGGTCTTCGCCTTGAACGCACCAGTTCTAATCCCAGCAGCCCCGCTTCCCATCCAGCTCCCTGCTTGTGGCCTGGGAAAGCAAGCGAGGATGACCCAAAGCCTTGGGACCCTGCACCTGTGTAGGAGACCCGGAAAGAAGTTCCTGGTTCCCGGCTTCAGATTGGCGCAATACCAGCCATTGCAGCCACTTGGGGAGTGAATCATTGGATGGAAGATCTTCCTCTCTGTCTCTCCTCCTCTCTGTACATCTGCCTTTCCAATAAAATAAACAAATCTTTAAAAAGAAAAAAACAAAATGTAGTAGCCTAAAAAAGAAAAAATATGCCTGCAATTTGGGTAACAATGTTTGTTTACCTAACAGGCTATCTGTACTCACAGGATGAGACAGAATGAATTTGTAATCTGTGGTTTACAAATCCAAACTCATTTATTTACTTAGGCAGCTACATTATTAACAAGGGCTAAGAGACTTGCTTATGGAATCACTACGCTCTGTACGAATCAGCTTAACATATGGCACTGTCTTCCAATCCCTTTAACATTTAGAAAATAGGGAATTTTGTGAAACTGGGAAATTCCTACAGGGGCACTTCAAAATGTCTGTGGCAAAGTACCAAAAAAAAAAAAAAAAAAAGACTATGCATGCTTTCAAAACTTTCTGCACCTGAATAAACTTCCCTTTTAGTTCTATTTTTCTAGAAACTTTTTGAATTTCCCTTATACACATGACTTGGTGTAAAAAAAACAAAGTTCGTTTTCTTTTAAAAGTTTTCATGACAAAATGCAAGGAAGACCACTAACTGCTGACCTTGAGTTAAGCTTTAAATAAGATTTTTTTGCAGTTAAGAGCATCCCTTTTTCCTGGCTGGTTTTCTGTTGAAACTGCTGACGGCTAATCAGCATGTGTAAGTGGTGATCTGATAAGAACCTTCAAGTGAGCAAGTACACAGCCAAGTGGGTGATCAATGTAAAATGAACTCCTTAAAAACATGAAAGCAGTTAAAACTGAGTTTTAAAACTCTAGCAGTTCTTTAAAAATTGATGCCAGAGGCAGGGTTTGGGAAGACAGAGAGCTTTTCCATCGGGTGGTTCACTCCCCCCAATGGCAGCAGTTTGGGTTGTTCTGGGCCACGCTGCAGCCAGGCATCTGGAAGTCCCTCGGGATCTCCCACGTGGGTCACAGGCCCACACACCTGGGCTGCTACTTCTGCTACTTCTGTGGGGGCATGAACGGAGAGCTGAATCGGAAGTGGAAGATGGGTGTGCTGCCGGCACTTGGCTTCCCTTGCTGAGCCACCTAAGCTCCACTTGGAGAGCTGAGCGGGCTTTGGCCACGCCCCTCGGTCACCTGCACCTGAAATGCATGCTCCTTCCTCCCACACAGAGTGCCCCGCCTCCTTGGAAGCCCCAAGCAGCCCTGAGCCCTGCTGCCTGAGAGGCAGGGAGGAGCAGAGCCAGGCAGCATGTTTCTTCTGCAAAAGATGAGA